TATTACTGTCACCATTTTACTCAATAAGATGGTATTAAAAGGAAAATTCTATGTGAGTACAGCGCGCATCTCATTCATCAATTACCTATACAGCAATTTACTGTACAATTTACTGTTTTTAAAATACAGCAAATACTTAGAAGCAATTTAGTAATTTTATTAGAAAAACCATCTGTAATTTTAGGTAATTTAGTCGTTCTAGTATTTAGACTATAAACTGTCTTGACTGGTGGATTTAGAACATAATACGTGATGTTAAATGATTTCTTTTTAAATTTTAGGTTATTCTTCCTGTTGCAAACAGTTCAGCCATCATGCGTTTTGTACCTGACGAGTCATTTAAAACTAAATCAGTTGGCACAAACATTCAGGTGGCTCCGGCTTTTTCTAATTCCGAACCAACCTTCAATTCCACTTCCAGAAACACAACATACTATGACAGAGGAGAGATCGATCTTGGACAGATTTCAAATAAGGCTGTTGACGAAAATGCGCTCTCTTCCAACGAGGATAATACAGTGACTCTAAAATTCAAAGTTGTTTTGGAGGAAAATGAACACGTTAAAAATCGATCTAATTATAAGATTGGTGTTGGAGTAAAGGGAAGCGAGCAGATGATTTGGATCAGTCAAATGACATTCATCACAAACATTGCTCTGGGTCGTCAACCAAGTTTGCTTATCCAATCATACACTAATGCTAGTGGCAGTCTGGTTCAAGGGTAATGGATTTATGTTTTTTAACCACAGCAATTGATATTTTGAAAAATCGTCTGCATGCACTTAGACCAAAAATTCTTTCATACTCTATACTGTAAAATTTAAAATTTGTTTTGACAGTTAACTGTGCTCTTTTTATTGCTATCTGCATGATGAATCTGGATTGCTATTTGAGCTGCAAATTTCGCCGTGTTGCGCAGTCATTTTACCATATAAAAGCTCAATTTGCTTACCTATAATATAGTAATAATAAATCTGTCATTTTCATTGTTAGTTCCGTTGTGGAATACAACTTCACAATTTCCTATAAAGACAACTCAGACGCACATGCGTATCAAATTCAAGTAATATGGATGTTACCAGTTTATACAAAGTATCTCCAGGTCCACGAAAACAAACATCAGTTGAAAATCATCAAGTCAGGAAACAATGTCGTGTTTTCGGTAAGTTTTTTTCTCGAACTTAAAATCAATCTTAATTTTATAAGGGATAACAACAAATATATAGAGTTTAATACAACTTGGTTTTTAAATCGTTGTTTGATGAGCAATGCAATCATACACGAATACTATGTAGAAATTTTAAATCATGCATATTTTCTAGTTGAGCAAGTTAGAATTTGGAGAACGTCCAACTGTATCTTTTTCTGTATCATTGGATTCTGAAAAAACATTGAAGAAAAGTGGTACGAATTATGCTGTGACACCAGTTTCTCTCACGTATCAGAACAACAAGGGGAAAAGTTATTATGAGCCCCTGGTGCCAATGTCTGTTCAATTTAAAGTTCCAGGTAATTTTTCTATTATAAAGATTTATTATACGGCCAAAATATTAAAATGTTTCCAGCGAAGGATGGCCTAGTTCATGATGTTCCAACTCTAAACAGTGTACGTTTTATGTTTACAGAGCAGCCTATTCAAACCCCTGCAAACGCGGTTACTGGTAAGATAACAATACTGAATCTCAAGCGATATAGTGCATTTCCTCTGAACTCTCATCAATTCAGATACCTCATTTTCTACTGTTTTTAGTGGATTTGGAGCATGAAAACCGTAGTGTTCTTAAGCTTGACTTTAGATACTTGGTTCCACAAAACATGCATCCGCCATATAAATTATTATTCAACTTGGTATTCATCTAAAATGTGTTTGAATTTTTTTAGAATTTTACCGACGAGGTTTTTTAGTTGATAACTCAAGTTCAGCTGTTTACATTTGCTCGGTCTCGTCACAAAGGTATAAACGTTCATTTTACAATTATATATTTCGAAAAATAATTCGAAAATATCTGATCTTAAGATAACTTAGGAAGTTTCATGTCTTATACTGATTTGGCCCACAACACTCTTAGATTGGTACTATTATTTTTTTGTTCCTTTTAGAAACAGACCAAGCTGCTTTTGGACAGGTGATAAGGGTGGAACCTGGCGAGGTATTGTGTGTCCTTTATCATTCCAACAATATTTGTTGGCTTGCTGTAATGACTCAGAAGAAATGACCGACAAAGAGATGTGTAATACGTTAACTTGTTAATTTTAGCTGTGGATGTGCAGGTCATCAGTATCATTGGTATTGATCACGCCAATAAAATGGTGTATGGTGTTGGTAACAACATGATTAGTTACATGAAGTATATACCAAACAAGGGCAAATGGTATTCAATATCGCATGACCAGTGGGAACAATCGAAGAGCACACTATCCGACTGTGCAGTTGTTGAAATTAAAGATAGTGATAATGATGAAAGTGAACCTGCAACTGATAAACAGAAAATTATTGGAAATGGTGAAAAATGGGGAGGTACGAAAAATGTGTTTGTATACATATGTGTTGAAATATAAGAATAGAACTCTGGCGTAAAAAAGGCTAGAAAAAGGGAAAAATGCTTGAATTTCGTTCGAGTCTCTTGGCTCTTGATTGCAGCCGTTTTAGATTGTTTGTAAAGAGAAATCTCCAACATAAAGCGTAGCCATAGGATAACTACTTGGAGCTGCAGTATTCACCTTATAATTCTCTGTGCCTGTGGTAAGATTAAAAATTTGTTCTGGTTCCACGTTTTGCCGACTCGCTGACGAATCTGGGGAAAAATTGTGCCGTCTAACCTGGCCATAATTAGATTGCTTGCATGCGATAGTAACTCCTAGCATACAAAAGCATTACATGACATGCAACATAAAACCACTGGAACAACATGCATGCACAAAGCATGCATGCATATGTGAAAAGCTGAAAGAGCCTTCATGCCTATAATAAAGTTTATATTAATTGATATGTGAATGGGCATCACATACGTTTACTATTTCATACAGCTTTACGTTTATTATTTTCAGCAACCAAAACAGGCGTTTACCATTTGCCTAAAAGTTCTGGATGGAAACTAAAAGCATTGTGGAATAGCTGCCACTAACGGTTTGCTCGTCCTTGGCAACAGTTTCAGAGTTTTCATAATTTCATTTTATTATAGTCTTGTAGATGTAATACCGCATTCAAGTTGCCACTTTTGTGGTGTATATAATAATATCACACCATTTACTAGAATAGAATTTGCGCATTGATTTTTAATGTAATAATTATTATATATATAATGAATTTCTATACTTTGCACCATTCCTGGATTTGATTGTGAACCGTTTATCTACACCGATGTTCACTAACGACTGGCTATAGTTATTCGTCATTTGATTGATGCATGGTATTATGGAGTATGGACCAACGATGTATAGATATACTTTGAGTATAAATGCAATGTGTTCATGCAATGTGTAATAATGTATAAATTTGTAAGTATGTTCAAAGAATATATCTCATATTCGCATTGGTGGATAGAAGAGGGTAGAAATATTGTCATATACCTTTATAGACCTATATCATAAGCACTTGATTCATTTGCATGGACTGTACGCTTGTTTTATTGATCCAAGATTAAATTTTTTACACTGGTATTTGGTTTTTGCTTCTAGTTTCGTTGCTTGTAGTTTGCAACTGTGATGAGGCTTCATGATACTTTTAGGCAAGAGCGGTGCAGACATGCAAACTGAATTTCCAAATGTGAACTAACCATGCAGTTCTTTTGATGATCTCATAAAACAACATTCCACTGTCACGTCAACTGTTACATGTGCTGTATATAGCCTAAAGAGACGTTCACATGCAACTTCGTACCCAGGATTGCAGCGAACTAAAACAACGCAAGTAAAATATTTCACTTCCACATTTGTGATCTTTTTTTGATCATAATGTTAAATAACTTCATGCAGTTTTCATATGAATTAACCGAATTTCTCATATTCTGCTGATAAACTTTGTGGTAGGGGTAATTCAAGGTCTACCGGCATTGTCCAAAATAGGCAGAAAAATGGATAAAATTGTGTCAAAATGTCTTCTCAGAGAATGCTAAAAATTCGATTTCAGCCGGATAACCTAAATTTCATACATTTTCCCGCAGATTATCATATGCCCAAAATGCACAAAGTATATATATATATAGGCTACATAGCTCATGCCACACGGAAGCAGCAAGAAATGAGAAGAAGACATTTTAACCTGGTATAGGTATCTCAGTGTTATAGGTATCTCTCTGCTTGCCTTCAATTTCCCAAATAGAATGGAATATTATCGAGAAGTAGGGAAAAGTGCATGAGATGTTGTCGTGGCATTCTCATTATAGTTTATTGACTATTGTATTTTAATTTGATATGGGAAGTGAGACGGAAAAAAAAGACGGGTCTTGTGATAATTTAGCTATACAAATTTTTCATACGTTTTGACGAAGATGTGTTCAGTAAATCACTCGGTTTCCTCTCCTCCCTGTTCTCAAAATATAAATATTCGTGAAAAAGCTATATATGTTAGCATTTTGCCGAAACAGCGTAATAACAACATACTTCAAATAAATTTTAGCATATAAGCGTTCAGCTATATATATTCTCCGCCTCGACTGCTAAATTCACAGCTTTTTGAATATAATTAACTTCAAAACGATGCACCTGCTGAAAAATAAAAGAAGTAATTACACATTTTCCTTCGTGCGCCAGTATCAGGCATGCAAAAAACACCCAGTGATCTTTAAACTCAGTAAAAGGCATAAATCAGAAGTGTAATGGTCATGTATGGAAAGACGCTCATTATTTGTGCTGTATAAAACTATATTAGTATATAACTATTGTATGTTTTATTCATGTCAGCATGTCATTCTGCTTCACTACCATCATGCACTGCAAGCTGTCGTTGTCGTTAATTCGTTCGTGTCAATGTCTTGCGTACATACAATTTAGTCGACAGATATGCATCATGCATGCATGAATTACTTAGACATGCTAAAAAAACAATAATAATGTCTCTGATATGTTATTAATAAAACACCTATACGTTCCCGCTCAATAACGACGAGCGTGTGTTTTTACAAGGTTAGTCGAATTTAAAATTATAATGCTTGCACACGTTCATTTATTCATTTAGCAGTGACAGTTATACTTAAAATGTTTTACTTTTCAGTCCCAATTAACATTTTAGCCTCAAAGCAGAGTAGCATAAAAACATCTGGCTTTGTTAAAGTTACTATACAACATGCGCATATTAAAAAATATAGCAAATTGCGAGGTAACAATAAATATTTTGAAAAATTTTAGATATTGAGTGTGTTAAGGTTTAAACGGTCTCTCCGAGAAGCGTTCCGAAGCATCAGCATTTTCATCCCCGTTTTCCCCGTTGCTTAATTTAAGTTAAGTTTGTTAGAGTTGCTTAGCAACAGACAACTGAGGAAATATAAAAGATGTATGGAACTTAAAAATATATACAGTCAATTCGACAGTTCCTTTTAGACATTTCTTTTTCCCTCCTTTTGGCCTCAACCTTCTTTTTGTTTTTTTCACGAACAATAGGAACATTATGCCACTAGCCTATGGCAAAGCTATGGTTCGCCTATAATGTCTACTATAATAAGTTAAATGAAAAAAGTAAAAATGTGACTATGAATATATTATATATGTCAGTGACAATTTTTTAAGTGTGTTTACTCGAAAATTCACTTACTTAAAGTATTCATAGCGGACATAACGACCAATGCCGACTCTTTAATAATTGATGTCTTCATTTCATATGATCAACACAACTAAATAATCGTAGCAGCGAAGTGAACGCACATGAAACATCGCATAACAAGACCATGCATGGCGAATCAAATTGGCTTTCTCGTGATCTCGTTCGTTCTTTTATCAAGTGCGATAAATTTTATTGGTAAGTTATTCATTTTTAAATGTGAAACCGATCGGGAAATGTGATTAGGCAAGCGATTATAGAATACGTATAACGTTACGTATAGCTATACCCGCCGTCACTAGATAGCAGATGGCGAAGACCAAAAACTTATACGTTGTCGTTGTTATTTCGGATACTTCCAGTTTTGAGGAAACAGTAACGAATTAGAATAAAATTATATTGATAACTGAGTGTAAAGAGTTGTTAAGCGAAGAACTAAAAAATGTAGCACTTGTGGTCTATCGCCGAATAACTAGATATTGGCCTATATATTTTCACTGGGATGAATTTTGTGGCGCAGTGCAGTTATAAAAAAAGGCCTATATATGATAAGTTGATAACTGATTTTGCGGATAATTACGCATGTGAACTCGACTGCACTGTTTGACTGATTTTATATATCTAACGAAAGATAAATTTTAGCGTCGCAGCTGTTTTAAAAGCAACAGCATTACGGCTTAGCACGCTATTACGGCGTTATTTAAATTTTAGGAAATATTCGGTAAACTATATGTCTCAGACAGAGGAATCGAGTTTTCTATTGTCCCAAGTAGCTAGTTCAGACCAGTTGTGGCTAAACATGCACTAGGCATGCACAGGCTGTGAGTCTACTTTTCAAAAGCTCTTTGGATAATTTCTTTTTTAAAAGAAAAGGCGGTAAGATTAAGGAACATATATAGACCCTGTATATAACCGCGGATTACTATCGGTTTTATCGGCATTATTGGGTTGTTTCTGATGTGCTAAACTGCTTGGACGTACAGAGCGGCTGAAACATGAGTTTACCTGCATGACTTATCTTCGTGTAAAATATGTTAATATAACAATAGATTTCAACGAAAGATACAGCTAATGTCCATTAGATTATTACTGAGAGTAAAAACTCCTAGCTATATATCCCTTGAAACGCCTATATCCCTTGCACTTACAGCATGCAAAATATGTAAATTTGAAGAAAAGTACAAATGTGGAATAGAAGATTGCAACTGTCGTCCTGCCAGTCAAGATGCCGTCGAAGGGAGTAATTATAGACGATTTTTGGATCTGATTAAGAATTTGATTCGTCCTGAAGATGAAGTTTGTGATCGGTGCGATGTGTTTTGCAAACAGTAAGTATATTCAATTATTTTCTGCTAACCCGTACCGTTACAATTATAACTAAATTTTTAAAACGCAGCATGCTGTGAAAACTCGGTGAAAGTAATTCACAGAGGTAGTTATAAATTCACAAAAGGTAGAAAATATATAGATTCCCGGTGCATGTTCAAAATACCAGGATATGCATGGCATATGTATATCTATTTCTCATTTTTATTTACTCGAACGTAATGTTCGGGAGTAAACTTTACTGAATAATTCAAATCCCAACGAAAGTTTTGAAGTTTTAAACTTGCTATCTCTTTACTGAATTCTGTTTTTGCAAAGTAATCACAAGAGTAAATATATGGCTGTTAACTATATATGATCTTTGAATGTATTAAAAAATTTATAAAGAGCGCTTAAACATCTGAATTATCATCTTTCGTTACAACACTTTCCCACCGAAAAATTCGAAAAACCACACCCTATTCCCCAACCCTAACAATTACCCTTGTTGGCCCACTTCCCCTATCTATAACGAAGGCAGGTGTATTGTGGTCCATTGCCCGGACAACATACATCACAATTGATATCACCTTGAATAAAAAACTTTTAAAAGAGAACACGCATCATCGATAATGGCGCTAGGTCGTCCACAAAGCAATGAAATTGGATATCAGATGCATCAGTCAATATATAACGCATATATACGATTATTGATTACGATTATTTCAATTTGGCGTATAAACTGTTGTTTATCTTCAGCAATTGCATATTGAATGTTGACGCAGAGCTCATTTAGATAATATGTATTATATAAACGCGCTGCTAAGAGTAATTTGTTTATAGAGCATCAATAGACCTTTCTTATAATGACGTCAAACGCGGAAAATCTGATGTTACACGAAATTTTATTGGCTCCACAAAAACTATCGAGCCAATAAAAATTCGTGTAACATCAGACTTTCCGCGTTCGACGTCATCATGAAAAAGGTCTATTATATTGAGCTTCCTCTTAGTAGCTTGCGCGAATCTAGAACTACGATTGAAAATGTAAATTAGTTCGTGTTCTGACTGCGTAGCTCAGTGTAGTCGCTAAATATCCCGGAGATTATGAATGGCGTCCATCATGATATTTGTGCGCACGGCTTTACCAGACGCGCGATGCAGAATTATAAGATATTTCAAAATTGTCCCCTTGCTCTCAGTACCAAATCACCTGCAACATATTTTGACTGTTATTTGACGTCCTTTTTCGTTTTTTACTGATACAATTTGCTGTTGTTTTTTTTAAATCTAAATAGGGAAAAACACGTCAATTGCGAACATGGTACCTGTGGTGAACAAAAAGGTCGAAAAGGATGTATTTGTGATGATTGTTGGAGTGGGAAAAACTGCTCAAAATATCGTAAGTTGATATACCATATGACACTTCATGAATAAAGCAAAATGTACTGGGATAAATTTAATTTGGCCTGATATAATCATTGGTCATTTTGAAGCTGCAGTCGAGGGCTGCTAGTACGGTGCGGTTGATATTATGGACACCTGAACAAAATGCCATTAAATTCAGGTTTCCTGCAAAATGCTCGTTTCCATAAAACCCAGCTCTTTACTATAAACTGCTATAGTCTTCCTTCAATCATTCGAACCAATTTAGTCGAAATCGCATATCAGTTAGTAAAAATATGAACTTCGGCATTATTATTGCAATAGCTCATGCTCAATAGCCCACGTTCATGCACCTGTTTTCCACTTGATCGTTTTCACCTGCAGTTGTCCCATGGAAACCTGGCAAACTTCGAAGTGTCAGTATATATAATGAGCTAGAATTTAATATCAAGATAACTTCACCGTGCTTGCATGTTTATATTCTAACAGTGCGGTTGGGTGATTCAACGAAACAACGGGACAATTGCTCGAGTGGCCAAAAACATGTTCGTTATTAAAATTTATCGCTGGTTTATTTTTCGTAGGAAACCGTCAACCAGAATTCAAAGAGAGATATTATGATTCTGAAATAAAGGAAAATGCAAATGTTGGTGATGAAATCCTCAAAGTTTCGGCATTTGATGCAGATTTGGAGACATGTGTTGATAAAAAGAATTGTCCTTGTGGTCGAATCAAGTATTCTATCAGCAAGGGAAATGAAGATGGTTTGTTCAATATCAACGCAGATACTGGAGTTATAAGTTTGGCTAAGAAGCTATCTGATCAGTATCATTCTCAAATTACTCTCTCCATTCTGGCTGAAAATGAAGCAGATCTTAACATCATTGAAGACAACCAGATTGATAAACCTTCGGCTATTGTTGGTATAACTGTTACAACTGACGATGATGCTGTGAGAGTACGCCGATCACTTCATCACCGAACACGCAGAAGTGTAACGGTAAGTTCCCCCTCCATTCAGCATATAAATGTATTCATGTATTCATTATAATACCGCATGAGTGACCAATAATCTGAATAGCCTCGTTTCCATTTTTTTTAAACATTCTGACCTCATCTGTTTATCTATTACTGAACAGTTGGCAACTAAATGAACTTGTTATAAAAAAAACACAATATATATACATATGTTTTAATGATTCTATATACTCTAAGTAGTGATAGCACTATTCTAAATAAAATTTACTATATTTACTATATCATATCCTCCACCTGTCAGACCAGTGACACCGGAACAGGAGGGCAGCTGCTCCCCTTGCCTTTTACCAGCTGGGGCAAGGAAGAGAAACATGCTTACATAGAAGTGTAACCAACGAGCTTCAAAAAACATCCAGTTTTATAAATAATATATCTAATGTTCATCACATATGGATAATTAAATCGGAAGATAAAAAAACGTCTGCTTTTTGTCTAGACATACAACGCTCTTGTGGTGACTTTTGAAGCAGTCACCAATCAAACATTCTTTGCTGCTGGATGTACAATCAACTATCGTCTGCATGTAGTTCAAAATCAGAGTGCCTCTCCAAAAGAACTGAGCTCAATAACAGTGCAATTCAGTTCTGAAAACCTTAAGCTCTCTGAAAAGTACTCGCTGAATATATCCAATAGCCCTGTCGTTGAAGATATCGGTAATAGCCTCGACGCTGGCAAAGTACAGATAAACATTACAAATTCCTTGCAAGTCAATGGAAGTATGGAAATTAAATTCAATGGAAGTGTTCCAGCAACATTAGATCCTTTGACGCTGCTTCAAGTCGCTTTCACTATGAACGCAACCGCAACGCCATTAGGACAAGTAATTTATGGTCCAAAGTATTCCACCGAACTTTATACAACTTATCCTCAGATTACGTTAACACGTACCAACCAAGGAGGTAAGATATATTATAATTTTCTCATTGCGGTATCATTGGTTATCCAGTACCTCTTACCTACTGTTATTACATTAACGTTATATCATATGCACTACAATAATCATTATTATTTATCATTATTATCCATGTAAAGAGCAGCATTTTACATAATTTTAATACGAATATTATTACTATTGTCATTATATTGAACAATACTAATATCATTATATAGAGTATTGTCTTCGTTATTTATATGAAGAGTATCTTCGCTAATATGACTGAAAAATGCTACTGCATGTCATTAATTTGATCATTGATATTTTAAAGAACTCAGTACAAGTTGAGTACAACTGATTTTATCGAAGGATCGGGGGGGCCGGGTCCTGGGTAAATTCTTCAGTGAGCAGAGTAAATTGTGCAGTGAAAAGAGGCGAACAATACGGTCAATATGATGGGCTCCTGAGTACTGATAAGGTCGCACTGAATCATGCATGCGATTTCTATGAGCAGTCGGTGGTCATTCCATATAGCGACAAATGGTTTATACTTGGCGTATAAGACTTCCTATGCTCCTGAAGTACAAACATGAGAGCTAAGAAGTTCAGCTGTCGGTGTTTCCAATCACTCTCTTCGTGGATTTCCCACTGCTCGTAAGAAAGATTCAAATCCTAAACAGGCTAAAACCAGGCAAACCTGGACTATATATATATTGCAAAACTGGACTATAAATATATTGCAGCTTTTAATATCATCTAGGTATCGCTCAACAGAAAAAATATTCTTTATTTCAGTTGTTGAAGTTGAAAAAACCTTGCATTACAACGTAGAGGTAACTTTGCCTTTTTTCGGTTTTTCATTCACTCTGGCAATCACAACAATCCTGAACGACTTTCGCTTTCTGAGCATTGAAAACGTGACCCTTGGTGCTATAAGCGACTCCGTAAATGCTGATATTAAAAATCCCACGCCAAAAAAATACACCGGATCAGACGACATCACAAGTCGAGTGACTTTGAATTTCAGCAATGTAAAGGTAAGAATCCTCTTCGGTGTATTCAGTTCATTCGTTTTTATTTCTGCTTTGACACTTTTTGCTGTTTATATAGATATAGTATAGAGAAATACCGAATGCCTATAGAATCCCCTGAAGAATAAGAGAGATGATCATGATGGAAATTTCCTCTCTGAGTAATTGTTAAATCGAAATTTTTTTCAGATTATCGTTATTATTTTTTATTTTCTGCTTTGTTAGGGTGAAGATAGAAATCAAAGTAACAACACGATCAAACTTTCATTCTCAGTCAAAGTTAATGATCATCATTCGCTAATGAACGGTTCAAAATTTTGGATTGGTATTGGTTCTTATGCAGGAAGTATCATGCTTGGAGTGACACAAGATTTCATACAGATTTACAAGGTTTTTGAATGTTTTAAATCAGTTTACATGCATTCAGGCTCCAATAATGTACCAAATTATAAAATGCCTTAGAAACAGCAGTGCACAGTGTTAATGTAAAATTCTTTTATATACTTTTTTGTCCCCAACATTTAGGATGAACCTTATCTATTTGCCGAAATCAAGGCCATTAACATTACAGACCCAGAAGTTAAAGAATATTTTATAAACGACGAGGTTCAATTTTCTTGGAACGTAAAGCATGGAAATGGTTCATATGAAGCAGCAAAAAATGTGACGGTTTTATTTTATATCCCAACTTCACTTGTTTACTTGAGCAACAGCAACAAAGATGGTAATGAAATGCGTGTAAACGATTCTACCAGCGGAGAAGACATCCGTAAATTTACACCGAACATAGCTGGCAACTTCTCTCTAGGTATGTACACGTGAACCCGCATGATATGACGCATCAGTTCATATATCATCTTATCAATATTCCAAGAATCCATGGTTGAGTCTTATCAGCTGATTAAAGTCAACCAAATAAGAGGCAGATCCTCGACAAACTGAATTATCATTTCCTTTACTTCACATAACTTCTTCAATGAAAAATTTTGATTCTATTGATTAGATTAGATTGTTATTCTATTTTTTCTGTGCAGAAACTCGTTCGTTTTTCATTAATTTGTGAATGCAAATCTAAATGTCACGCCCTTCATACTATTAGTAGGTATAACGGGGACAAATGAAGGCGTATCATACATAACTCTGTTCTGTCTCGTTAAGCATTTACGCAAAGTGCTGTATTTATCTTTAAGGATCTATATTAACTGGAATAATAAGAGTCAAAGTCAGTAAAACAGTAACACCATTGGTTGATTTGAATGTGGGAATTGGTATCCGTTACCAGACAACAGAAGGTGAAGATCGACCTTTTAAAATGTACAAACCCGACCCAGGCTACATTGCTGGCACACCTGAGTTTTCTGTGGCGGTAAATCCCAACATTACAAAAATCAACATCGGACAAGTTGTTGAAATAACGCTCAAAATCAAGATTGAAAGAATGAATCTTGATGGAAATTTATTTGTAAGTATAATATATGATAATGATTACATCTATATTATAATATTTAAGTTATCGAAGTAATGAATAATTACGAGTAGAATTATTTGGACTTTATACTGCATGTCTGTTTAATAAATGGCCTCTTCTTTTGAACTGACACTCTGGGAATGACGCCTTAGGTTCAATGACGTTTTACAGGGGCAATTTTTCTTGTCACAAAACTGAATTTAGCTGATTCAATCAAAACGCATTTGCCTTAAAAGATTTCCTACAAGTTCCCCATGCACCCACACCGCGGGCTGCAATGATACCAAATAATTATTTGCCAAAGTAATTGTTCATGTAGGAGATCGGTTTCATCCAATGCTGTGCTCAAAGAATGATGATAATGTAAACTTCACGGCTTCACCTGATGTCCAAAAAATATGTTTACTGAAGAGCTATATTGTGATGATGATTAATATACATGTTGTCATGTACTATACTACAGATGACGGAGTTACCAAATCTTGCATATGTTCCTGGATATTGGAAATATTCTCACTCCGGTTTTAAGTTTCTTTAACTTAGGTCATTCATGTTGATAAATTCTAAAATAGTAGCTTGTGCTTCATTTTATAGGTTTATCTTCCTGATCGAAAAATCAACTCAACCATCATGCGATTTGTAATCAGTGAATCTTTCAATCAAATAACTTATGGTGTAAACATTGATGCCGATATCAAGAATGCCACGCCCTCTTATAGTTCATCAGATGCCGATGAAACATACGAAAATAGTGCTGAACTAAATTTTGGACAGATTAAAAATAAAAATATGACAAAATACAAATATGAGGATAACACGATAACAATGGCATTCAAAGTGGTTTTGGAGGACAATGAAAACGTGAAAAATTTATCAAACTACCCAGTAAATATTGGCATGAAAACCAGTAACCAAACTGTTTGGGTCAGTAAAATAAATTTTATTGCGAACATTGCCCCTTCACGCCGACCAAAGGTTGAGATTATTGCAGCCTCAAATGGTAGTGATAGCTTGAATCAAGGGTAAGTTAAGTGAATTTTAAACATTTTCAAAGTTCTCAGCCGGGGAATCCTATACAGAAGGACTGATGAGTGATGCATTACATCACTGAGTTATCTACAATCCATGCCGTGCCAATAAATTGATTAAAATAATCGTTCTCTTTTAGCTCTGTTGTGGAATACAACTTCACAATTTCTCATAAAAATGATTCTGATGCTCACGCACAAGATGTTGAAGTAATATGGATGTTACCTGTTTATATAAAGTATCGAAAGCTCACGCAAAACCAACCAGTTGATGTTCACCATCAGTTGATGTTAACCAAGTTACGAGATAACGTCAAATTTTCGGTAAGGTTTTTCTCACAAACATGAGGAAAATATTTATCCTCGCTAAAATTGTCAGCTATGTATGTTTCAACAATGGCCGTACTCGCAAAATATTTGTCAGTTGTAATAAAATAATACTAGTTAAATATACTTTTGGTTTAGTTAAAAAAATTGGATTTTGGCGAGAAATATTTCGTGTCTTTTACCGTTGAAATCGATCCTAAAAATACGAAAACCAGTCCTGGCAAGTACTATGCTGTTACTCCTGTGGCTTTATCTTACAAGAAGAACCAAACGTATTTTGAACCTTTGATCCCGATTTCGATCGCCTTCACGGTTTCCGAGAAAACCCAAAGTAAGACTTTCACTTGTGATTCCAGCTCTACTTTTGTTGATATTTGTTCTTTCCTGTTTGTTTTCCTGTAATTAATTTTTTTTATAGAATCGGAAAATAGTGTTCCGGCAAAAATATCGGAAAGTAAGACATACACTTTATCATGTTAGGACAGTAATGAAAATTTTTTTCATACACCCTGTACAACCATTGCATCCACTTTATCATGTCATCAAGGACAGTAATGAAAAAATTTGCAAAAATTACTTATCGAATTCTACATTACAATGTAGTGCTTTATAATCGTGGATATTTGGTCGACATGTCAAGGTCAATCGTATATATTTGCTCTGTTTCTTTGAAAAGGTAAACAAATACTACATCCTTAGTCCTTATACTGTAGTGTGGCAGCTAGAATAGTAGGTGCTAGTTCTCAGGAAACATTCGATCTGACTGCACGCGTGTCAATTTAATAATAAATTTCTAACAATATATAGCAGTACTTAGCTTTTTCATTTAATAATGAACTAATATAATTTGCTTTTTAGGGACAAACCAAGCTGTTTTTGGACGAACACAAATGGCAACACATGGCAGGGTGAATATAGTTTATGTATTCATTATCATATCATGTAACTTATTCTTCCTTGACATTCTACCGGGTATTTTTCAAGCTGTCCATGTGTCTGTAATCAACATCATTGGAATTGACAACCATACAAAGACATTGTATGGTATCGGAAACAATAAGAAATCGTACATGAAGTATTCTCCAGATGAGGAGAAATGGTTTTCGATGTTACCAGAGATGTGGGGGAAAATATTGCCAACACTTTCTCTTAACAACACTATCAAGATTGAAGATGGTTATGAAAACGAATCCGACCCTAAGAAGGAGAAACAGCGTGATATGGAGAATGGAGAGATATGGGGAGGTTAGTAAAACATTATCTGTTGATTTTCTCCGGCGCGATGAGGCAATTAAGGTTGTCTCAGTTTCATTATGAAATATTCAAATAGTAGGTAACTCTGAAATACACGACTCTGATTGGCCATATCTGTCCTTAACCGCAGTTAAAACTAGTGTTTAATACAACTGGTCCCTGAATTGTCGAACGATAAAATGTGGCAAAAAGACTGACCAGAAATAAAAAATAGATATGGAATGTTTAAATGGCAAAAATGTGAATTTCTCCATTTTATAAATAGTTAGGACAAAGCCTGCTTTAAACTCACAGAAAATTTAATATGATTATAATTGTATTTTTCAGCCAACAAACTTGGTCTCTTCCACTCTAAAAACGGCGCGAAATGGAGTCGTAAGGCATGTTGGGATTGTTTCCAATGATAGCATTTATTACTAAAACTTTTTTCTTTTTCATTTATACATTGTTTAACAGTGTCAGCACTGAGCCACTATATTCAATAACATTTAATTATATGCGCATGTTAAATTCGTATTTGTATATCGATAGATGTGTATTGTATAATATTGTATAATATAAGCTTCACCATACAACAATTGTATATCCTTTTGAGGAAGTATTAAAAAGTAATTTTTAAAACATTAAATTATGCATTATTTAGTTATATTTATCGTGCATGTATCTATCCTGAGTGCATGGCTGGCGGCTTCCTGGTCAGGTACGGGGTTTGTGACTGAGTAAAGCCGGGGAAACTGTGACTGAGGTAATGGCGAGCGATAGTTACGGTTGCCTCCAATTCAACTCATGAAGTATCATAATCTAAACCGCGTGCGAATAATAGCGTCTTCGCCTTCACCTAACTCAGGACAAGAACGAAGAGTGAAAAGTCGAAAACACACGCATATGATGATAAAAAATACACGTGGATTAAAGCTAAGCGCTCGCTAAAAATTCAAAGGCGGTTCCATTGCGTTAGGCGTAATTTTTCAACCAGGCCGTTAATCGTTGTCAAACCTATAACAATGCATGCCTTTTGTGTCGTGTAAAAACAGTGTTTACACAAATGCCTTATTCTACAGGGGCCGGTTGTTCGAAAGGCGTTTAGCTTAAACGGTGGATAAGCCAAAGTTTAAAAATACTCTCATACATCTTGTGAATGACTGAAGCTGCATTTTATGTATTTAATATGTACTTCCATTGACAATTAAACTATTTACATCGAAATATTTCAGCTCAGTTGTTGAATAAATAGATCATTTGATTTTCTATTTTTGACTTATTCACCGTTTAAGCTAAACGCCTTTCGAACAACCGGCCCCAGGCCCACATGCCCAATTTAGATGTTCCAGACTAAGTGTTTGAGATATGGGGCTGTTATATTTTTTCAACTGAATTGTTGGCTAATTTGAATTTGAAATTTTTTATAGCAGAAGTACCGCCGCATCACATTTAATTCCATTGCATACCGATTGCCTAATATAAATACATAAGAGATGCCTGCGGAGGAGGCTAACCGATTGATTAACTTAAGGCCTAAGTAGATTTTAAAACAAGGGGATCAAAGGGCCGCCAATAACAATGTTTGGCTTATCTATTCAGTGTTAAGTAACTTGCCAACCCTGTCATTAAAGTATTTTGGCGCTACCCGTGATTGTGGACAGATCGACAAAGAAGCTCTCACTTAAAGTGCGGTTTTTTGTAAGGTTGACAAAATGAGAAATTTCCGAGTTCTGTTGACCGTTTGTACAGCCTTATTATAGCTAGCTAACGGTTAAACAACGTCAAAGATCCGACCAAGTGATATTGACAATTGGATAACCATGTTGATTTGAGGTATAAACTAATTTATAATTCCCATTACTTCCCACACGTTTTACATTTTCATCTGCCAAGTTCTATAATACTCCACTGAAACTTATTATGCTAAAGCTTCAGGTGAAGCCCGCGGTGGATGAAGAGCTATAGTGGTCATTGTAAATCGGAGGGTTAAACTTCGGTCTGTGGGCAACGGAATTATGAAATGGTCAAGTCCGAATTTCTTTATTCAAATCTTCTTTTTTATGCTAAAATGATCGTAATATATTTCAAATCTGAAATATATAACGAGATCATACATTCATAAAACACTGATGTATTAGGAAAGCCGATCAAAATGTGGCCGGCGTGGCAGTAGAAAACACAATCCGTCGAGGATAATCAAAAGGCAACGAGCTTAGGAACACCGACAACAGAGAAACTTAATTTAGAACTGGCCTGCCTAGAGCATAAGAAATTTAAAGTTATACTGAGTGAACTACGAAGGCGTATAAATTGTATTGAAACAACAATTAAGCTTCAATCGTGAACATTCAATAATATGCTTGTAAGCTAGCCTCTCATGCATACACATTATTTCTCAGGCTTAGAGCCCGGAGTAGCAAATGCAGTGAGTAGCAAAACTGCGAAAAATTTATAAAAAAACACCCATCAATTTTCGAAATATATGGTTTTCAAACGGTTAATAAAAGGATTTTCTCATGTCATATACATACAGGATTGCTAAAACAGCTCCGTGTCCTGACCACTTCAGTGTCGAAGATTCAGTTCATCGACCCAAACAATCTGTGTTTCAAGAATTGTTTATTAATTTGCACTTAATGAGGAGAGATGGAAGATCTCAACACTCGTGTTCAAAGGAAGGACAGAAAACAAGTAACAATAAATGAAAACATTGCAGAACTTGAAGGTTAGTTTAACCGCGAATATATTGACATGCCGGCAGGGTGCATGAAAGAACGTTACCTCAGTTTAAGACGAGATCTCAAAGAGATCCATTTTGTTCCGACAAAGGAGTAATTCTCCATAGAAATTTTAAAAAAAGCTAATTCTGGGTATGAGAAGCATATTCTAGAAGCACAAATGCACTTCAAGAGTTCAAGTATAATATCGTGTAAATTTCCAATTTCCATTAAGTAAGTAAAGAAATTTTTATCCAATTAGGTCTACTTTATGCACTCTAGAATGTAGTATAATATGACAGCAAACCTGTAATTCAATTAGAAGCTGTTTGAACTGATTGCCAGGAATTTGGAACCACATAGTGTGCTTTGCCTCTTAATTGGCACAGGATAATGGGTGACTATTGGGTGATATTTGAAGGTTACTCTTTTATGCACCCTGTGGCACGTTTCAGTAATATAGACTATAGTATAGCAGTAATACTAATAACTCTTAAATAACGGTAGATATCAATCATATCATATCTGAAATTCTTCAGAAATCTCGCGAACTTAGACAACTGTGTTCCAAAAGGTAGCTAAAGGCCTGAAACGATACATATGTGATCCTTTTGTAAGAAAGCTTCCCAAGTACTTTTTTAACAAAGGCATGTTGTTGACAAAGGCATGCTGGCCGTGCAATATGAAAGAATGTCCCAAATTAATTGTGCACCCCCAGCTATCTTTTTTTGAATCCCTAAAATTGGATATTGTGAAAGTACTAATTAAATTGAGCTAGTTTAATTAACGTTCATAGAATTTTGGTGATTAAGCATTTGCCTAAAATAGACTTATTATAAAAAACTTCACGACGTTTCGAACTTGGGAGCCTTCAAAGGTCAAGAGTTCCAGTACTACATATTTACTAATTATAATAATATACTACCATGTTCAAGTTCATGCATGAAACGATAACCTACATATGTATATACTATATATTCACTGAAACGTTATAAACTAAAGCAGGGTTGCATGGCAATGAGGTCACAATTTTTCTTAATGTAAAAATATATAAACCAGTGAAACACCTTCAGTATACTCGCAGTATACTATAAGTCTTCACTCTTCATGCAAATCCAAATTATGTTTTTCTCTTAGCTACTTTTTAACTGGCCCTTCCGATGAGCGGAGCCGGACTTACTTTCATGCTGTTTGGAACTAAATTAGAATTTTTTACCTCTTCACAGAAATATTTGAAGATGACAAACCAAAGAGATTAGTAACCACTGAACAAAAACGTGCAAGTGAATACGCTTTGATTCAGTATTTATCAACACTTGTGAAGAAAAGAAATCTTATAGAATCTTTCGATTTTCGTTTTGTTGAGTATTTGCTAGAGAACGGAGCCAATATAAACAATTGCGATGTCATTGGACAATCACCATTTCATATTGTTGCCAAGTATTGGAACATTGACGTGGCAAGGTTCTTACTTGATCACGGTAGGAATTATTTAGCCTACGTCTGGTCTAGCAAAACTGGTTCTTGCATGGATAAATATATCTATACCACGCTCACAGGACAGAAAGCTCTTGAAGGATCCTTTATACCAGTCGCAATCATAAGAGGTGCATGTCTACTCAGACATTCTCATTTGACAACTCTCTCAGTTGAATGGAAAGAAATTATATTCTATATTTCCGTTTTTATTTTGCCAGGTGCTGAAATCGATGCCCAGGATTGCTTTGGTCGTTCACCTTTGCACGATGCTTGTGAGTTGAATTACGACGACATGGTTGAATTTCTTCTTCAGAATGGTGCAAATATCAACATCCAAACTTATGATCAGAAACAAAGGCCAATTCATTTTGCCGCGAAAAATGATGCATGTCAGTGTTTGACTAAGTTGTTGGCTAATGGAGCTGATATTAATTCATTAGATAGTAAAAATAGAACACCACTTCAGGTATGTTGACTGACATGATGGCTGTGTTAATTTTAGAAGAAGGCTGCATGCATGGGGTTCACTGTTCAAAACGTCAAAATTTGGTTATATTTTCTTTCGCTATATTTGGTTATATTGTGTTTTTCGTTCTTATCGTTGGACGATATTAGCTATACAGTAAAAAGATTAAGCGGCGATATTTCCAGGTAAAATATTTATCTAAATAATGCTACAATATTATTTAGCTTGCTGCTGAATTGAACCGTTCCAATATTGCTCTGTTGTTGATCAACGAAGGGGCTTCAGCCTCAATATACGACAAAGAAGGAAACTCGGCGTTGACCTTGCTTACTGAGAAAATGCCTGATATCGCTGTACTGGCCTTAGATCAACTGCACTCGACAGACAACGTCAACCGAAAAGAATTCTTCTCACTGAATAGCTTAGAAAGTTCAAAGATCAATGGAGGACGTCCCAACTGTGCCCGGACACCTCTAGAGATTGCCGTCCAAAAACGCTGTTTCTCTATTGTTATGCATCCTGTTGTTCAGCGGTTAATCGATCTGAAATGGGAACACTATGGGAAAACAGGGGCTATCTATGATCTGATGCTTAACCTTGGTTATGCAATACTCTGGACCATACTGAGTCTAGCATTGTGTTATCGAGCAAACGATATGTATTTACCATTAGGATCAAAAGGATGGTTGCTAGGCATCGTTATCGTTATAGTCCTTATGACTGGGAATGAAATAAAGAAGCAAATTTCTGGTAAATTGCTAAATTTTTAAACATAAATTTACTTATCACTTTTGTTATAACTTGTATTTACTTGTGTCCTAGCCGATTCTTGATTTATTCATTTCATGAAGATACACTCCGCGTACGGCGACAAGAGAAAGATTGGATTAACTGGAGAGCTCGCAGTCTTGAAGAAGACCTAGGATATTGTCATCCCAGATCCACAGTAGAATGGAAATATTTAGCGAAAGAAGTGAAGTCTGTTCGAAATCACTCGACGTATTTCAACGATGGAGATGGATGGATGTACTATTTTGATTGGTTGGCTTTACTTCTTGTGTTAACAGCAATAATAACGCATATTATCTTCCTGAAAACTGACAGCATCATAGCCTATAAAATCCACCGATGCGTACTGATCAAGTTGTTATTGGTACTTTGGATCCGTATTGCAAAATACGCCAGACCTTTTAAATCCACCGGAACAATTGTGATTATTTTTTCGCATATCATTAAAGATATTATCAAGTGTTCCTTTCTATTTGCGATATTGTTCATTCCTTACGCATGCGCTTTCTGGCTTACGTTTGGTCCCTTTTCTCCAGCACCAGTTCCTGAATACAGTAACTTTGGTGGTCTTCTGTACTGCATGCTCTGTATGGTTGTTGGCGTAGATTTTCCTATTGATGATATACTCTCAGAAGATCCACTCATGGCTCGAATCTTGTGCAGTTCATTTATTATTAGCACAGCTGTAATCGTGGTAAATCTTCTCATTGCGTTGCTCTCCGACACTTTTACGCGCCTCTATGGCAATGCTGTGGCGAATGCAGTGATGCAAAAGGCAAATAGTATTTTGCGAATGGAGAAAACGATGTGCAGGAAACGAAAGCAAAATTATTACAAGTTTGTGAGAGAGAACTGTAGTCCTCAGGTGGTTCCAATGGACCTTAAACGTTCAAGCCAACGTCAAAGTGAAAAGGGAAATGCAATGAATCGACTAGTAAACGAAGTTAAAACGATGAAGATTAACTTGGTACAAGGAAAATGGTACTGTTTTTTTAATTATTGAGAGTTTGGTTAACTTTAAAATATAGTATATCCCAAATAACTGCTATAGTGTTGCTATATAGCAATCATTATCCACGACCTATAGTGATAACATTGGCTATATATATCTATCTCATTCATTACAATATTAGACGTTTGGAAATATAGTTTTATGGAAATCATGATTATTTCTCTCAAATCTGTTTTTAGTCAGCTTCCAGCGCAAGTTGATGGACGAACGATCAGCGAACTTCTGAGACTAAACAAAGAAAACACCATTAAAATAAATAAAATATTGGGTATTTTAGCAGCACAGAAAGAGATGGATTCCAAATTGAATCATCCACAAGAAGAGGCTGCGATCGATGATGAAGAACGTGATGGCAGAAAACCCGAACAAAGACAAATTCGAAAAGTATTTCAATCCTCTAACTGTAGTTTATCAAGCATACAGAATATCAATAAAAGACGACGGTTTTCCAGTCTTGGTGAAATAAATCGTGGTTTTGAAGATATCCAGTTGTCAGAACTAGATGCATCAGGCAGGAACGACACGATTGGTGATCTTATACGACGAAGAAGATCAACACTGCACCGTAGTAGCAGTGTAGCGTCAATCCAAGCATTCAAATTCTTAGCACCTGGGCGTAGTTCTGGGTTCCTTTCACAACGTGTTAATCAACGTGGCAGTGTTGGTAGTATTACATTATAAATTGAATGCTTGAAATTCGTTATATAGCTGAGAACATTTTGGGAGGAAGATTGGATGTGAATTAATTTAGTCTATAGCTTTATGAATTTCAATACAGAGTCATAGCTTCTAAATCTCGTGCAACGAACATGGACATACTTGTTGGTACTATAACACCTTACGTGTAATTGGTTTTCACTTTCTTGCATGCAGGCAAATTAATTCAAATCATCAAGATGAGCATATAACACCTAATCTTTAGAGAAAGTTAATTTTATACCGGCAACTTATATTATATATATATATATATATATATATATATATATATATATATATATATATATATATATATATATATATATATATATATATACACGATTTTTGTCAGATTTGTGATGCAAATGCGTGCGAGTGTACTGAAATATATACTGAAATGTAAAGTCTGTATAATATGTAAGATATATATTTAGGTTTTTGAAATTTACACCACCTTGCCACTGTGATTTACTTTACTCTGTACAAGCCAGGGTGCAATATCTGCATGAAAAAAAGAATCTGCCAAACAGTGCATTGGGTTGAGTCGGAAACTCACCAGACTGATAACGATTTTTCAGTTCGTCGTGATTTCCCACAATGCTCTTCGTTTTTTATAACGCAGATTAAACTTGTTAGTGTGATAAAAGTTCTCGTCGTTAATTGTTGGGTTCATAAATCAAGCTTTCAGAAATTTAAGTTTATACTGCTTGCAATCTGTTGTACACTTAATCCAAACGCGATATAATAACCATGAGCTAAATTCTTTTCTATATATAGTCATATTTCTGACAAGATATAAAATATTTTAGAAAGTGTCATTTGCATATTTTCGTTGATTAAACCAGGATCGTAGGCTAAACTAATCGGATATATATGGTGCTATCCAGTATCAATTCGTATATCCGGATCCATACAGATGATAAACACAGTCGGATACACGCTGGATAATATATATAACCGATTAGGATTAATGATTATCAATTATCTTTTTTATCAATCACCTTTAAATTGTATTGTTGACTACCGTCTTTACAAAAATTGATTTGTAGGTCGGGTTTTGCTGTCACGTGTTCGCGTGCAAGCATTCAGGAATACGACGCCAAAATATTTTTTGAAGTACCTTTCTATTATATCGCTCTTATAGAGCAATAAGATTTACTCTTTTTCTACCGATTATATATAAGGGGCAGCTGTAATTGCGACTTTTAATTTTTTTTTTGAAATGCTATATAAAGGGTTATAAATGCTGCAATCCGGGAATATTTTGCTACCGTCTTAATTAACGGCTTGCTGAAAGATCCTGGGTACGAGTTAGATAATGACATGTTGGTGCTCGTTGCATGCATGGACCTGCATGTATCTCAGTTGCATGCACCACATGCACAGAATTCCAGCAGACAAAGCATTTATGTGACCGCGCACAGAAAATGATAACCAAGCTAAGCAATGCATGTCTGGCTGAAGTCTCTCGTCTACTCTGTTTGGACGGATAAGCCGTTGACGGTAAATTTCGAACCGGATTCACATTTCACAAGTCAAATTAATATACTAATGACACGAGTTTGTCTCCTGGATAAACTCCTTACCGTTGCTGACGTCCATACCTTTAGATATTACTCTCAGCAGTTTTATGCCTTTTTTATTAAATCTGTCTGCTACAGCTGGCGTAGCACGATTGCGCGTAATGATCAAAACCAGAGCCGAATGAAGAACGAAATAAAACCCTGGTTATGAGGTTGCGTACTTACCTAGTGAGCATCTAGCAGTGGTAAGAATTTATTCCCATCCCCCTGCAAAATGAAGCTTCATATCAAATTTATTCGGCGACAGTTTTTACTTACTCAATCATCGTCTATCAACAACACTATCTCTTACATTTTACCATAGAGAGAAAAGTTATTTCTGATTTCGGGTAGGTATGTCACAATGTCATTAATACGCTTGCTAAGATAAAGATATCTACAGTTATTCAAATTCTGTAAATTTTTTCCCTGTAGACAGATGTCTGACTGAACCGCGTGAGTTATCCTCGTTACTGCCACTGGGCATTCATTTCCAACATTCTTTCTAGAATGATTCACAGACATAATCATTTTATTTTAGGTATATGCAATAATTGTAAGTGAAAAATAATAATTAGTAATATCTTTGGCAGTTAATACCTTTCTCAGTGAAGGTTACTGCATGAAATATTCCAGTATTGTTCAAATAAATCACGGCAAATGGACTCGCCCGATGCCATTAAAAATCATTGATTGAAAATGTCTCTCAGATCCGTCAGTTTGGTCCGATGAAGTGTCCGTGACGGATCTTAAATCACGTGACCATCCTTTGTGCTAATCCAGTTACTTGATCGTGATAAACAGATCAAAATTTTTGGCAACCACACATACAAAATAGTGAAATTCCGAGTGACGAAATGGCTATTAAAATCTCGATACTCACATTAATTAAAAAGGATTTATTCGCAGTGTTTATTTTTTCCCGAATTCAACGTAGAATTGCCCCGGCAGAAATCTAAGCGAAAATTAAGTTTCCACGATAGTTTGTTGTAGTCTACATAAGCATATGCGTAGAAAACTATCACGAAATGGAATTTACAACCCATTAAACTTGATTCCGCAGACAAAGAATATACAAGTTACTTATGACATATACTTATGACTTATACTTTTTATCCCGTTCAAGTTGTTTGTTATAACAAGTACCGGGTTTGTTGAATATTACTGGTTCTAGGACATTGAATTCGAATTTTTCTATGCTGTTCTGAAAAGCTTTACAAGTTCTGTAATTCCCATTTTAACAATTTGGTTAAAATGTAATTATGTGCGTGTTTTCTTTTATTTTACTATTTTGTTATTCACATATCTTATAAACATTTGACACGTCGCGAAAAACGGAAATGAAACGTCAACACTTGCATGTAAAGTAATTTTGAATTTGATACACATTCGAGACGGCGCATTGATATAAAGGCGTACTTAGCTAACATATCCTTCATTCTCTTTGGCTGGCGTCCATTCGTGAAGTGACAGCTCTTCTACACCACCGTGGTTTGAAGTAACTGCTTGTGATTAATCCATTTGTAGACGGACATAGAATTAAATATGTTATTTAACAACATTTATGTCTTTCTGGTCATTTATATTTTTGCGGTATTTGATATCGGGAATGCCAGAAAGTCCACAAACGACGGTAAGGTTATGCTGCATTAATATGTAATAAAACATTGTTTTGCCTCGCTGTGGATTAAGAATGCGCAATTTCTGTGTTATTGTTTTGAATGCGCAAATCCTCTTTTACCATGTTGTACGAACGACACATTGCATTTCTTTTGAACATAAATATGAAAATGTGCATTTATCAGTTAACTGTATTCGTGACACGCGGAGGTTGCATAATCTGGTTGTAAATTTTACAACGCACAAAGTTTTACAAGCTTTTGCGCATTATTCTAAATACGCGTTTTATGCAAAATGTGCGCAATATTATTGAATTGACGAAAGACAAATATGGTAATGTTCAAAAGCGGAATAACCTTGGTGCCAAATATGTCATCAATAGTTGCTATAGTAGTGTCATCTATATTATTGACACTTTATTACTGCCATTAAGCACATTCCTTAAATTTACTGATATATATTGTAACACCTATTTTTGTAACGATGTCTGAACATTTCATCATTTATTTGGTACTGACAAAATATTTACTGAAAGTGCAATCTTATTTGCTTAGAATTGACTCCAAAGGTGAAGAAAAGTTAATCCAATTTAAATTGTTATTGCAGTCACCTTTAGAGGGAAATATTTTGTGGGCCTTATGATTTTTCAACAGGTTGTTGGTTTAAATAACAGTTTGAGTAAATGCTCTTCACTATTTATCATTTGAAACTTCTGAAATATGTTTGCGTGGTTTTGATCAAAACTAGCTACCCTAAGAATATAAAATAACATTTTGCGAGACGATCAGGAGGTATATTTCGGTAATTTGTAAGAAAATCTTGTATTATCAGCTGCTCAATTCACATTTGTATCATGTATGCAGTTTGTTTTTGTTTTTTGCATGGTATAGACTTTCGAAGCTCTTTTATATAATACCTTTTTTTTAGGTGATCTGCAGTTAATTTTATTTTATTAGACGACCAGGAATTTTGCACTCGGAGGATCATCTCTGTTTGTGTTCGGGTTCTCACCGACTGACAAATAAGAATAAGGCAGGGAACAATTTCGCTGCGTGCGCACGCTAAATTACACCTGATGGAAAACATACAGCTTTAATTAATTCTAGAAGTGTCATTAAAGATTGGAAATCCAGAGCATTAAAGATTATTAAATTTAATTCAACGTTATTGGTTAGCGAAAATCTATAACTATACTTTTTTGCTGACCAATCATGTTGAAGGATGTCGGTTTAGGATGTCTATCGTGTTAAAGTGAGGCTGGATATTCAAATAGACATGAGATTATTCAAAGAAAATTTCATTAAAACTCGGACAGAGCGCAGTTTTTTTTATATAAGCAGTTTTTTATTGAGATATATATAAACAAACATATGTTTGTTTGAGATGTGGCAGTATATATGCATGCTATTTAGCTTAAAAGCGTTTTGAAAACTCTTTTTCATTTGGTCCATAGTAATGGCAGATTTTTCCGCCTGTCAATGCAATGTAAGAATTGTTAAATCTTTGAGCATTCGTATAATCAATGGGACAATGTATTAACTAGTATGACTTTCTAAATATACCACCTGGGGAAACTTTTACTTTAAATTGTGATTCTCCACCCACTTGCAGCATACAGACACAAAGTCTTTCCCCGAAACCTTATTGAAAATAAAGGTTTATAATTATTGCACTATAACAAATTGTAAGAGAGAAGATTTGGATTTGCCATAAAATTTTTGTCACTTTTTCCCGCAAGTAACATATACAAGAATTGAAACTTACGCATGCATGTTACGAAATCGAATAATAAACATTTGGTCTCGATTTTCCTGCGGGACATCAGACAGTTTAGGTCAAGGGTCTTGGGGCTTAATTTTTCAAGCAAACGCAACTATAATAAATATGCATGATAATCTAATGTGATAAAACATGGAACGTATTCCAAATACGGTAACTTAGTGGGAAAAGCTTTTAAGCTGGTTAAAAAGCTTCATTGGCATTTGGTAATTCACACCAATATCACGAAACATAGCTATATTAGCTACAGCTAGTATTGCTGTATAATGATACCATATAATGTAACTATAAAGGTTGCTTTGTGGCAACAACTTCAAATAACAGCAGAACAATCGTTTCTTCATACATCTGCCCATGCAAACATCTGTCTCCATGTTTAGACCGAGGGTCTACACAATGGCCTTGTCTTTAGGCAGTTGAAAACCGATTATTTTCTGGATTTGTATGCCTAGTTTCGTGAACATGTCAAGATGGCTGATGTGATTTATACAAAAACTTGCAAACTAATATTAGTATCATTGCTGAGATATTTCGCTTACGTCTGCGCATCAAAGGTGATGACCCTGAATATTTCCTATTGTCCAAAACTATTTTACCTCAGTCCATTATATTAAGACATCAATACATATCTTGGCACACGAAGATCACAGAAAGATATGAAATCATTAACAGGAAAGAATCTATTAGAACAACGAAAGAAGCGCGGGGGGAAATGGGATGAAATTTTTCGAGGTGAAAAACTATGTTGGAGAGGAGTGCTTGTAACTTTGTTTCGCATATTAAAAACAATGCTTTGTTTAAATAGCCGTAAAATTTGTAATCATACCGGGAAAATTATGCGCCTTGGTGAATGTCATTAAATAAAAACTTAGCTAATTTCGAATTATTGGGGGTAATTACGGTAGTACATATGTCTTCATGATTAACTCTATTATAATGATCGACGTATGAGCAATTAAAAAATAGCCATTCACGGCCTTTCTTAATGAAGAACTAAAAAATCTAATCAGTTTTTTAGCCAGTTGGTTTTGCCAGCGCCTATATATAAGGCGATTCTCCATTACACGTCCTTTGACTGAAGCGCGCTTTATTTTTCAAGGTCGCTAGCTTGAGCAGATTTTCAAAGCGAAGCAAATGTAATGGAAAACGGCCTTTAAACTGTGCTCAATTTCGTGCTCAATTTTAGTCATCTTTCCAATGCTGCTGCATGGCACCTTTACAAAGATTTTTCTTATTTTGCAATTCTAACAACAGTCTAACATCATGAATAAAAGAGCGAAGCTTTTTTCGGTTTCATTTCAATGCCTAGCTGAGAATGGTTACACACCATGCACCTAGCTGTTTTCGCCTTTTTACCGTGTGTGTTAAAATAACGATTTTCTTATTGTTGCTTTTATATAATAAAGCCTTTCTGACTAAAGTATCGGCTTGTTGTCAATCGGCAATTCTGGCGGTGAAGACACAAAGGAATCCAAATTGTAAAGCAATTGGTCGACGTGCATCTTCTGGACTTATTTGTCGTACATCTGCTGAATTGTGTTGTGTAAAGCAGTTGCAAGAATCTTTATGCAGAAAGGGAAGATCGGTCGCAATGTATGTATGTTTTATCAGCCTGTTTGTTGCCAATGGATACGAGTTACGACTTACGATAGTACTATACAGAGCATATCAGTATACGTTCCCGTGACAGATTCGTATTTCTTTTATCCAGAACCGATTCCACCTAATTCTAAAAACAGGACAGTGTTAAAGAATCCAAAACTCGATTCGTCCTATACACACCCAATAGGCCCCACAGGTCATTTTTAAGGGGGCTGGGCAAAACTCTCGTTTGGAGCCTTAATCCCTCAGCAGTAACGTATAAAAATAACATACTTAAAAGGCTGTTTACATACTTAGAAGCGATTTCCTCTTGTTTTGGTGTAAGATAATTTACAAAGAGATGACAAACTTCATTATATCTATAATCTCTTGTTCAGTGAATTGCATTCGACGCAAATATTGCCCTGCTGCATTTGTTCTGTTGCATGCCTGGTTTTTGCGAGTTAAAACTTCGAAAATGAAACCTTTATATTCAACCAGAAGAGATTTTTAAAAGAAATTTATTAACAAGCTGTTAAAAAAAATATTAAGAATCCTCCTTAACACGTACGAGGTTTGGCTATAAAACGGCTTTTGGACAAGCAGCCTCAAGTAAAGATTCGTATCATTCGTATTCGATTCGTTTATAGTAATGGCGGTTCCTGTGATTTGGACTCTACGCGTTATTATGGTAGAGAAGATCACCAAGAGTGCTGTTATTGTTGTTATCTTGGAATTGAGGCCAAACGGAAAGGAATTGGTTGTCAAACTTCCGCGGTTCTTGGTTTCCCTTGTCAAAACGCATTTTCAAGATGTTGTTTAATGGATGGTACGTATATGTAATAAACGAAGCCCACATAGACTATACAACTACGGGAGTTTGCGGTCTTGGGCATAAATAGTTTAATAATAAGGACGCGCCACCCGCAAAGAGGTGAAATGAGTATGAGAATTCTACGGCGCTAGTTATACAAACATGCACATTCTCAAGTAATTAAGCTTGTTGGTACACCACGTAAGTATATAATACTCACGTGGTGTACCTACAAGCTCAATTACTTATCGATTATCACCATGCAAACGTACAAGAATAAAAAAGAATTTGCATATTCTTCCCCACAGGAATAAGCGAGACAATCAACCTCTGTACAATGGACGAAAAATTAAACATTTCGCTCTGCTCGCAATGCATATTATATATAGATGATTTTGTTGTTAAAAGTTTGGCAATGGACGACTTGCGCTTTAGACTAATTTCTTACCTCGGCGATAAAAAGGACATTTTCTGAAAGAGCTTACTAAAATAAGTAATACTGTCAAGTTTGACTGCGAATTGTTGTAAAATACGGAAAATATACCCATGCGAAGTTGTCGATTTTTGTATACTTTTGTATTACGACCGGAAGTTTGTAACTAATTTAGTTACACATTTCCGCACGTAATACAAACGTATACAAAATTTGCCAACTTCGCATGGCTATATTTTCCGTATTTTACAAAATTTCGCAGCCAAACTTGGCAGTTTTACTAATTTAAGTAAGATCTTTCTAGCTGGGGTGATTTATTTTCCTCTAGTTACTTCGATCAAAAGTTTGTCTAAAGCGCAAGTCGTCCATTAAACACTAATGCGCAACCAATTTTTGTTCTTTATTCCGCGTTGTTTAGATCCACATCCTTCAGGTTTTCCAACAGGAGTGTTTGGACCAGTAGTAGCAACAACTGCACCAAGAACATGCTCTAATTTAGGATGTTCTCAAAGTTGTGTTCTCCTCAGCGGTGTTCCTACTTGTGTTTGTAGGAACGGATTTGAACTAAATGTGAATGGTCGTACGTGCAACGGTAAGTATATACGCTTGGCTTTGTTCTCAATGTCTTCAAGAAATTAGCAAAAAAGAGAAGCAGTTAATTTATATTCATTCATCCTTATCACAAGATATAATGTTCCCGTAGCGATGTAAAATTTAATCTAGATGTTGTTCTATAAAGTTAGTTATTACAAGCAGTATAGGTATGTCACACACGCCGGTTGAAATATCTTGGATGGTATTAGGTTCAAACAGGTGAGAGTATATTTTTCTACTCACATGTAACAATTAACTTTTAGATGTGAATGAATGCGCCAGAGGTGTAGTGTGCAATCAAGGTCAAGCGTGCAGAAACACGTACGGGTCATACGAGTGCGTTAAAGGCGCACAAGTTGTCACCGTTGCCCCTACTATCACGTGTCCAATAGGTCTCGAAGTTGATCCCGGTAGAAGACAATGTCGAGGTAAAATTATATATCATTTATGTGCATAATGTACTTAACAACATATGATTTAAGATTACTGCCTCTCAATCGCCTTTTGCTGGTTCCACAACGCGACGTTCCTTGTTACCTTAACTTCCACTTTTAGCAATAAATTACAACACATGCACAATTAAAATTGTGGCTACAGATACCTGAGCAACCTCGTACCCAGGGTCTTTTCTCTGTGCTCACTCTGGCGCGGGGAGGGGGGGGGTGTGTGTGAAACCCAAATACTCCCCGCCTCTAAAATGTTCCCCACCGCTAGCTTTAGGGCATCGTCCCCCTTAATCCCACCAATAATTGCTAGTTCAATCCTGGGTAATGCAAGTCTTCGAATCAAACTTTCCAACAGTTTATTTATAAACTTGAATAGGTTATTTTAGAAATCTTCCCATGGTTTAATAAAAGCTTTATTTTCCAAAGTTTTGTGCAAAACAGCTATCCATAAATGCATAAACAAAAACAGCATTTTGTCACGACAGTTTGTAAAGAATTTAACTGATGGTTAGTACTAATCGGACTTTTGGCAATCGAGCCTTGCGTCATAATATATACCATGCCCAGCAATAATTCTGGTCTACGTAGAGAACACCGTGCCAATTATGTATTTAGAAGCGTCGTGCTCTGTTAGTCTAAACTTTATTCTTCATTTTTTCCTATACATGCATGTGTCATGTAAAAATATTTATCAATTATTGGACGAGGTCGAGCAAAATATCGTGATTTGTCGGTGGCGAGCAGATCAATTATTTGCCGATGCCGAAGGCAGAGGCAAATAATTGATCTGCGAGCCACCGACAAATCACGATATTTTGCGAGAACCGAGTTCAATAATTGTTTTATCATTCACCACTTAATTTTCAATTCATTCACCACTCAATTTTCAATTTTGAGTTCGTTTTATCGGACAGTTCGGCAAAGCGAGTCGCCATTGTTTATAAAATTGACATTAATGCGCATGCTCAGAGTATTATTTGCAGCTGAGTATTATTTGCACGCAGTTATTTGCAGGTAAATTAACCAATCAAAATTGAGAATACTATAAAGTGAATGATAAAAATTCATTATCACTATATATACTGTGTGTATGTCATGTTATGTATTCATACTATTCATGTATGTATATATAATTTGAATTTTTCACATTCTTTGGTGCATGGAGATATGCATGTCGTCTATGAAACTTAATCGTTCACACTAGTTCAAAATTTAAACTTAAATTTCCACAGATATAAACGAGTGTGAACGATCTCCTTGTCAACCCGAGGAACAGTGTCAAAATTCGATAGGAAGTTATACATGCAACCCAAGATGCCCAAGTACATATGTATTCAGGAATGGTCAATGTGAAAGTGAGTTTTAAAATAAAAATCCTGTTAATTGTTATATAAAAGATCTTTGAACATTCGAATATTCATTATTTGTTATTATAATTATTAGATAATTAATAAAAATTAATTAATTTATTAATATATATCGAACACTCGTTCCAGAAAAATGTCGTTCAGGATTGAGGTGGGACGGTCGACGATGCACGGGTAAGCGAAGGCAAACCTAAAACATCTCCAATATTAAACAAAAATAATGCGTAGATAGCATGCACCAGGGACCACAAATTTGGAACTTGATTACCTGAAATTCTGAGTGAAGGTTATAAATTTCTGTTTGAAAACACTGACCTTAAACTGGAATATGTAAAACTCAATGGACGACTTCCGCTTTAGACTAATTTCTTATCTCAGCGATAAAATGGAAATTTTCTGAAAGAGCTTACTAAAATTAATAAAACTGTCAAGTTTGACCATGCACGTTTTATTGACGTTAGATATAGACGAGTGTAATACAGTAAGGAATGCCTGCCCAAGTGGACAATCATGTGAAAATGTTCAAGGCAGTTATCGCTGTCGTTGTCCAAGTGGATATACACTTCGCAACTCAAGATGTTATGGTAAGTTTTAAAATATTTATGTTCAGCAAAGGTCAAAAACAAATCTAAATACTTTATAGCTAAAAATTCTTGCAACAATTCTTTCCCTTTAGTGCGTACACCAATAGCCTGCTGGCCCTGCTGCATGGCTTTGTGTGTTGAATGTCCTTGACGGATTTCGATCAGATTTGAATAAAAAAATTGTAATTGTTTGCTCAAACAAATGCTTCAATTCTTTAAAAAAGTAACCTAGAATTTGAACAATAAACTATACGTAATTATAATTAACAGAATTTACTTAATACAATATGCGTGCATGTACCTCAAACACACCAAATACAAAGTTACGACACATCTGCAGAGCTACAAAACAAATGCTTTTAAACCAGGCACTTACTCTTCAACAAAATTAATAATTTGCATGGTTATCAGTTTTTGCACTAAAATGGCCATTTTGGATTATAGTGTAAAAAGCCTATTCGTGTGAAATTTTTTGAAAGCGCTTATACTAAAATTAGTAAAACTGCCAAGTTTGGCTACGGATTGTTGTTAAAGTATTGTTTGTACACTTTTGTATTACGGCCGGACTAAATTATAGTCACACATTTCCGCGCGTATATATATTCATACATATTCGTATGTTTTGTGTCTTGACTCCTGCATTTTGATTACATTGTTTTTTTTTGTTCTCCTAAACAAATCATAAATGTACAAATTCATTTTGTCTAGATATAAATGAATGTCAGAGACCTGGTATTTGTCAATCAAACGAACGATGTCGTAATACAGCTGGATCATACAAATGTGTGACAAAAGTCAATGATTGCAGTCGAGGATATGAACGGGTTGGGGGGAATGCGTAGGTAAATATAACCACAGTGGATTTTTGCAGGGGTTGTTTTTATGCACCTTTCGAGTTTCGACTCTGTTTGACATCACTAGAGGCTCGTCGGGAGTGATTTCAAACAGGTTTCATAGAGCTATGGAGAACAAATAATCATGCAATTATTATATACTTCGATGTACACGCGTAGCAGATAGAAAATGTTGGCAAATGTATAAAGTATTATTCATATAAAACAGAAATTTACGAACAATTAACTACAGCGAGCAGTTACATACGTTCTAACAAAACTAAAACGACATCTCTTGGAACAATTATTAGGATTTGTTTTGTTTTTGTTTTTTTTATTTTTCGTCGTCGCAAGGGTGTTTTGGCGCGAATTATACTAGTATTTGAAATGTGTATGTAACCTTTGCCATTTTAATTAATAATAAAATGTCTCATCTCTAATCTGTCATCGATTAATATATGTACATTAGATTACTATTAAAGTAAGTTAGTTTTTTTCGACGGGTACTTTTAATTCATAGTAAACTATTCCAAAGCAATAACATAAGAGCGCGGCAACGCAAAACATGCGACATAGTCATAGTTAAATGAAGTATTAATTATTACATAAAAATTCCTCAAAAGCCTTCTGCACGCCTATAAGCCCGAAAGTTAATTGGTCTCTGTAGTTAGGAGCTATACTGATTGCTTTCTTGAAGTTAATCAAATTTAATTAATAAACATTTACTGATTTAACAGCTCATAACGAAAAAAACTGTAAATGTACTTTTTTACTAACATCCCTGCCACGACTGGAAATACTGATGCATAAAACGATTCATTGCATGAAAAAGACGGTACATGAAGTTTAAATTTTGCTCATGTAGATGTCGATGAGTGTGTCAAATATCGGAAGATCCGGCCTTGCAGAACTAAATTCTGCATCAATATACCTGGCAGTTATCGATGCTCTCAATGTAGAAAGGGTTATGAATTTGTCAATTCACGATGTAGAGGCAAGTTTATAAGGAATATTTCAGCTTTCCAATCGCATGCATAGTATGCTATTATATTAATTCTAAGTCGGGAAAGAAACATATTTATGGTCGCGAACATTTATAATTTTATCATAAGTCTAATAGACTGATTAACATTTTGACTTTTTGACTTTCCATGTTTTGTACATTTAAACTTGTGTTGTCACTAACAACTAAAATATAGATTAATGTTTGTTTGCGGGTTCAGTCTAACTAAAATACTGCATTAAATGTGCATCATACCTACATAGCTATCAAAATCTTCGCATCCACCATTTTGCTGGCAAGGTCTTTTCACGGTTCCAACTCATATACTATTATTTTTGTGGATAAACCATTTTTTATATTCTATATATTTTCTGCTTTAAAGCAATCAGGGTATGTGGAACATCACGAGAAGATTGCAGTGAGCATGCAAGATGTAGAAACACAGGTCCAGGACGATACCAGTGTACATGCAAGCGAGGGTATAGTGGAAATGGAAAAAATTGCCAAGGTTTGTTACATAAATGTAACAAGGGTGCGACTGACTGTCTACAGTTTATAGAATTTCGCGTTGCATTCACGTAATAGTTTGATCATTCCGTGTACGAAAAATCGCGGAACGAAAATGGTCTAAATCAGCCCTCTAATGAACGTATAATCTAATATGGCAAATCGTACATACTTGCTGTTAAAATCATGCAACCTCTCTTTATTTAACTACCATGCACATTTTATTTACGTTAGATATAGACGAGTGTAATACAGTAAGGAATGCCTGCCCAAGTGGACAATCATGTGAAAATGTTCCAGGCAGTTATCGCTGTCGTTGTCCAAGAGGATATACACTTCGCAACTCAAGATGTTATGGTAAGTTTCAAAATATTTCTGTTCAACAAAGGTCAAAAACAAATTTAAATCTAAATACTTTATAGCTAAAAATTCTTGCAACAATTCTTTCCCCTCAGTGCGTACACCAATAGCCTGCATGCTGGCGCTGCTGCATGGCTTTGTGTGTTTAATATCCTTGACAGATTTTGATCAGATTTGAATAAAAAATTGTAATTGCATGTTTGCCCAAACAAATGCTTCAATTCTTTAAAAAAGTAACCCAGAATTTGAACGATAAACTATACGTAATTATAATAACTTGTAGGTACACCACGTAAGTTACTTACGTGGTGTACCTACAAGTTATTATAATTACTAAAGTCGCCATGCAATCATACAAGAAAATTATACGTAATTAATTAACAGAATTTACTGATATGCATGCATGTGACTCAGACACACCAAATACAAAGTTACAACACATCTGCAGAGGCAGCAGAGCTACAAAACAATTGCTTTTAAACCACCAACAAATATTTCTATATGTATATTTTGCGTCACCAAAGCTAACTGTGTTCATTGATTAAAATTATTACCATTATTAAATAACATATTTAATTAAATAGGTTGACTAAGTTGACTTCTACAGGCAGAATACCGTCTGCTATCAATGAAGAACCTGTATATATCTAATCTATAAATAAGAAATAATTAAATTTATAGTACACACACTTACACAGTTACGCGGTATGGCTACTTTACAAGGAAATGCTCACGTAACACTCATAACTTTACTTTTGAAATTACTGTACGAAGTTTCATTCCTTATTTCCTCACTAAGTATAAGTTAAACAACAGTGCTCCTTAAATGGAGAGCGTCTTTCTTCCAGCCTCTGTCTTGACCAGGGGGCTTATATATTCTATATAAGCGCCGTGCTCTTGACTTTTGGCACAATGAAACGTGAGTTATTACTACGAGTGTTTATGTCATGGTTAAAACATTGAAATTTCACTTGGGGGAAATTCGTGCCAAGTGAGTGTAACGATTTGAAAACATCTATTACAACCCGTTTTTTCCGGCTAGTATAACACAATCTTCGTCTAGACGATTTTTGGACCGATTATTCGGGCTGCTTTGTCTTTTAACCTCTGTAATTTGGAACTATCAGTGATACTAAGACCCATATAAACAGGATAGCAATAGAGCATAATAGGATGTATCATTGTTCGATAATTTCTTTCCGCGACGTAGGGGCTGATGTTAGGGCGTATACGTGAAAGTTGACTTTTGACTTTTTTATAAACTTTAGACAACGCTCTTTTGCGTTGCTCCTGGCGTTTTTGTCCTGCTCAATGCATTTAACCATTACCTGTCAGCGACGCATGGAAGTTTCCATGTCCTTATATTGCATGATGCATACGTTCTCAGTTAAATCAGCATGGTGTATGCATGCACGTAACCTAATATTACAATATTACAAATCATACATGCTTGCTGTTAATATCATGCAACGAATCTTTACTGAAACCATTACGTTTTATTGACGTTAGATATAGACGAGTGTAATACACTAAGGAATGCCTGCCCAAGTGGACAATCATGTGAAAATGTTCCAGGCAGTTATCGCTGTCGTTGTCCAAGTGGATATACACTTCGCAACTCAAGATGTTATGGTAAATTTCAAAATTCTTCCCTAATTCGAACATCAAAAACGTATAAAAATCTAAATCCGTTATGGCTAAAAATTCTGATGTACATTAATTTTATTTTCTCTTTTTTAAAGATATTGATGAGTGCCGAGAAGGTTTGTGTGCTAGGCATGAAACATGTACTAATCTGCCTGGAACGTATCGTTGTGAAGACAAATCGAGGTGTGACCCTGGATATCGCCGTCAGAGTGGAGCCTGTGTTGGTAAAACACTATACTTAGTACAACTGACTTTTGCTGTTGAGAAGGAATCGTACAATTTAAGCGAATGCGTTGGTCAGCGAGAAGAATCGTAGCAAAATTTAACGTGAACAAATGTGGGAAACGGTAATAGAGGTTCTTATACAGACGCGAATTTTCAGGAAAAATTGTTAAAATCATTAAAGAAAATTTTGAAAACAAAACAATGCCAACCAGAAATAGTAATCTTCAAGAATATTATCGTCAGGATCAAAATATTTTTCCTGAAAAAAATGGGAAGAATTGCGTTGCATTGTTCTTTTCAACCTTTTTTATAATCACATTGCCATAGTGAAACACTAAAGAAGAAAAGAAATTCGAAGACATTTTTACACAATTAAGGGAACCTGGACGACGAGGTGAAATGGTCAAGAACTATATATATAAGGGGCACAAATGTAAATTATTTCGGAAAATTATGAGTGTTAAGAACAATTGTGGGCAAACGGCCAGTTTTTATAGTCCTATAAAATCCCCTTCACATAACTCTCTCATAGATTTGTTGACCATAATGCCTACCGAGGCGAAGCGACCTCATTTTGCTTATTACTGATCTACTTTTTGTGTCCATTGCTTCACAGATGTAAATGAGTGTTTAGATTCCAGACGGTGCTCCAGTGATCAAGTGTGTGTAAATACAGAAGGAAGCTACGAATGCAGAGTCCGATGTTCGTCCGGTTATGAGCGAGATCCATCCACTAATGATTGTAGAGGTAGTTCGTGCATATATGTTATAAAAATCTTGTAACCAGGGTCTTGAAACAAAAAGCCACATTTACAGGGTGTATAAAAAAGGCAACCTCGTAATACTTATATTGTTATTAAGCACAATAGTACTTTCTATTGCATTAATAAAGACATCGATGAGTGTGCGGTTGGTAACCGATGTGGGCCAAATAGAGATTGTCGAAATCTTCCTGGAACCTTTAGCTGTATTCGGGGATGTCAACCTGGATACGAGAGAAATAATGGAAGGTGTGAAGGTAATATAACTTTAATATTACCAAAAGTGTTTAATTCCTCCACTAGTATTGTTTCGGAACATTAAAGTCATGGGAAATTCGAGTGGAAATCGAATATATGAATATAGAACTAATAGAAATTTTAAGTTTTTACATGGGATTGAATGGTGATTTATATTAATTTTAGATAAAGACGAATGTCTTATATATAATATATGTTCTCCTCCGAGACCTGTATGTGAAAATATACCTGGTAGTTACAGATGTAATTATCGTAAATGTCCTGATGGCTTTGAAAGAAGACGAGATGGACGATGTCATGGTACGTGAGAGCAAAAATTATCAGACAAAGTTGTCTAACTTTATATATCGTCCCCAGCATTTTTCATTTGGCGGATCATGTTAATTAAAGCAACCATGTTATCATACTTTGGGGGTTAAACTCCCTCTTACATGGCTAGTTTTAATATTGTGACCACGTGAATCCGATGTAGTGTAAGAAGGGCCAAACGTGCGGATGTTATCTTGATGATCAGTCAAGTGCAAATGGGAGTTATAGTTATGGGGAAATAACTTTTAATTATATTCCCTGAATCAGTGCATGGTGTTTAAAGGGATTTAATCAGATACAGTGGCGTCGGAAGCATGAAATAGGAAGGGGGGGGGTCACACATTCTTATATTCATGTTAACAGAAAGTAAAGACACTTTATTAGAGTTTCGTTAACATTCGGGGGAAGTGAAACGTGATATACCAGTGACATTGCAATCAAAAATTAATCGTGTTACATCTATTATTAAGTAATAAAGTCAATCTAGAAATAAACCAATACCCCTGTCTTTTCCAACAAAACAATACTAATTTTTATACAATGCAATCATACAAGAAAAAAAACAATACTAGTCCCCAAACTACCAATATTACTGCATGTACTCCAAACTACCAATATTACTGCATGTACTTCAAACTACCAATATTACTGCATGTACTCCAAACTACCAATATTACTGCATGTATCCCAAACTATACCAATATTACTGCATGTACACCAAACTATCAACATTACTGCATGTACCCCAAACTATACCAATATTACTGCATGTACCCCAAACTATACCAATATTACTGCATGTACTCCAAACTATCAATATTACTGCATGTACCCCAAACAGGCCAAACTACCAATATTACTGCATGTACCCCAAACTATCAATATTACTGCATGTATCCCAAACTATACCAATATTATTGCATGTACCCCAAACTACCAATTATTGTACAGATACACGATGTCATGATGAAACAGACAATATAATCTGATGTTGATCAATACTATGCAAAGACTTAACGGTTAAATCGAAGTGTCCTTTATCAACCTCGGATTATTGTATAAGAAGTTTGCAGTTCTTTATTTACCCATTGTTTGAATGTAAAGGCTCGTTTACACGATTGAATTTGCAATTTTTTGTGCGATTTTATTACTTTGATAGATGTGAACGAGTGAAATAGTTACGACTGCTCAAAATAAGAACTCTTATACATCAGAGTATTCGTAACTAGTCACTCGTTCACATCTACCAAAACAAGAAAATCGCACCAAAAATTCCAAGTGTAACAAAGATATTATAATTTAGTCCAGTCACTTAGACGATAATTTGATACCTTATCAGCAGTCACTTACCAGCAATAATATTTCTCATTTATTTCAAGACATCGATGAATGCACTACCGGAAGACACAGATGCAGAGCCAAAACTGAAATGTGTGTTAATGTCAATGGCACATACTCGTGCCGCTGCAATCCCGGCTATTACAGAAGAGCAGAAGAAGTCCATTGTCGAGGTGCGTTCCAAAAATGCATGCCATATTTGCTATATAGTATGAATATATATAGGTCAGGCGCCGAAAAGCCCAGAAAAGCCCCGTTTACACTACACTCGATTTATTGGCCGTGCCAGGCTAAAATTGGTACCCGTGCCCAGTTTTATTAGTGTTCAGGCTACCAAAATAAAGGACGAGCACAGATGAAATTGGTACGGGTACCAATTTTAGCCGTGCCGTGCCGATAAATTGAGTGTAGCTTAAACGGGGTTTTATACGAGCAGTTTTACTCCTATCGTCCGATGAACATGCTGTTTGGGATGAACTAGCTTCCACGTGCATATTGCATCAATCGTTGTTCTATCCTTCGCCTTATCTTTGTTAGATAAAGTGCAAACATGCAGTAAAGTCAGTAAAAAAAATGCATGTGAAACACGCCAGAAGAAATTTCGAAAAGCCACCTAAGGCGCTTGTTGAATCTCTTATTTTTCTTTTCCGTGCAAGGGCAAGGCCCTAAATCAGAGTTCTCATTTGGCTGAGAAAGCTTTCCTATTCTAGATAAAGATGAGTGTTCAGAAGCAAGCCAGTATTGTCAACACAACTGCGTAAATACAGATGGTTCATTTAGGTGTGAATGCAGAAGTGGATATAAACTCGCGGATAATACAAATTGTTTTGGTCAGTATAATAACTAGTTTGGCTGCAAATATGGAAGTCGTCAGGTTTACAATGCTTATTATAGCATTATTTCCAAATATTTTAAACAGATGTGAATGAGTGCAGAGAAGGAATTTCAGGCTGTGAACAAAGATGTGTAAATAGTCAAGGTTCTTACCGTTGCGAATGTGAAATAGGATACAGATTACAAAGAGATAAAGTGTCATGTGTAGGTGAGTAATTACATGCATTATATAATGTTTCGCGAAAAACTTGACTCGAATCTCGACTTAGTCTCGAGTCACTTTGAACAAGTTTATATTCATTTAGCGTACCAAACGTGCTAAAAACATAAATTACAATTGTTTCTCAATTCATTGTTCAAAGCAAGCAAAAACGGAGTGAAATCATATAGGCACAGCATCTTTTCATGGAAGAGTAATTTGTTCTTTATTCCTCTTAAACAGTTTAATTAAGGGAATTAATTCCCCCCGAATCTTTTTTGCAGATATCGACGAATGCAAACAACCTAGAGAGTAAATACTGGCTGTAAATGGAAATGTGAAAACACTATGGGGGGTTACAGATGTTCATGTCCAGTGGA